CAAGGATCTGAATTTAGTCCCCATGATTCAAATAAAAAGGCAGGGCACCTCAGTGAGACCCTGTAATCCCAGCCCTGGGGAGGTGGAGACAGGGGGATACCTGAGCTTAGTGGCTGTCTAGTCTTGCTGAATTGATGTGTTCCAGATTCAATGAGAGACCCTGTCTCAAAAACTGAGGTGTAGAGCCATTGAAGAAGACATGTGACATTGGCCTCTGGCTTCTCTGCTCAAATATGTGCGCATGCACGCATTTCCACACACCTGGACACAAATGCCTACATCACAAACATACATAAGTAATGCATTTGGGGAGAAAAAAAGGAAACAAAGAAGTCTCCTTTGAATACACATCATTTTTAGCACACTGGCTAGGTGACTTAGCGATGGCTATATACCCTTAAACAGGGCATGGTGCGTTATGCTTCCTTACCAGTCTATTGCTGCTGATAACACAAATGTTACATCAATGAATGAACACAGAACCCATTTTCATCTGACCTCATTTGCTAGGGCTGTGGGGGAAATCCACCTAAAGTGGACTGGCGTGTGTGTGTGTGTGTGTGTGTGTGTGTGTGTGTGTGTGTGTGTGTGTGTTGTGGGGGAGTGGGAGAATTTGAATTTGAAAGACTGCTTTGCCTCCCTTATCTTTTCTTTTCCTGGGTTTCCTCATCTCCATAATGGGAAGCCTGAACCGTACTGCAGATGACCTTGTTCAATGTTTTAGCTACTAGAAAGAAATACAAAATGCTATCCTGGGAATAAGACGTTTGGAGATAGCAAAGCAGAGCACAGACTCAGGACTGACCTGATCTTCTAGAGGGGGACACATCCCCTTGCTAAGGCTTCTCCTGCTCATGTATTTCCCCTCTCCTACACTTACAACCGGCCCCACCTTCACTTTTCCGTCTAGAGGGAAGGGCTTTGGCAGTCTGCCAATAGAACAGGTGTCCTCCCCCCTCCCCCGTCCGTCTAATAGTATAATAATCTTCTGCCCCAGCGTCTCTGAGTGATTAGGGCACATCTCATGTCCTAGCTTCTCATCAAGAGGCGAGGCCAAGAAATCCACCTCACCTGGGAAGTGCAATAATTGCTTAATGGTGTCCTGCCTAGAGTGTGATATTTATATTATAAGATGGGATTTAAGTCTAAAAATAAAGGATGTTGTCAGAGCACAGGATTATTGATAGCGAGCGTAAATGACAGTACTGACAGCTAACATGAAGAGCTCTGGTTGTGTCCAGGCTTCTAAACTGGGAGGGAGGTAAAATTAATAATTAGGTCACTGACAATCCCCAGCCAAGGAGGGAGGAAGCCGCCCTCGCAGCTCACCACTCACCCTTTGGCCTCCACATAAAGAGAGCTGCGTGTAACTACAGACAACACTAAACACAGAGGAATAAAACTACTAATAGAATTAACATCTTACAAAGCCACCACCAGCTCAATGCAATCAAATAACATGGGAAATAAAAGTAAGTTGGTAGCCAGGTGTAGTGGTGCACACCTTTTACTCAGCACTGGGGAGGCAGAGGCAGGAGGATCTCTGTGAGTTCAAGGCCAGCCTCGTGTACATAGTGAGTTCCAGGCTACACAGTGAGACCCTGTCTCAAAAAAAAAAAAAAAATGGACTTGATTAATTTCCACAGACTACCCATGTTTAATTAGAACAATAGAGGCTGTTTGCTGGCGTGGTATCCATGGCACCTTAGGGAACAGATGTAAGAATCTAGAGGGCTTGGGGTTGGGAGTCTTTTTCTCAGCTCTGTATCAACCATCCTCGTGACCTCTGGGCCTCAGTCTCCTCGTCTGCAAAAGCAGGGGGGTTGCACAAGAAGACTTCTGCGGTTGCCTCCAGTTTTGACGTTCTGAAGTCCGATGTGGAATATAATTTCACTGGTCCTTGTTAATGCAGAAAGCGACATCAGGCCCCTGGAGTGCCCGCGCCACCGTTTTGAACGTCAGGGGCCTTTGTCCGGGAGAGAGGCCTGATTAATTGACCACAGCACAGCAGAGGTTCATTGTGACCACTTTCTTCTTCTCCCCTCGGCTCTTCTCTTCTTGGGGAGTTAAGTAAGACTGGTCAGTTTTGCTTTTTTTTTTTTTTTCTTTTCTGCTTTTTATCTCCACCTCCAGCAGAGATTTGGGTTTTTTCATTTACTCTCACTGCGGGTTTCAATCTTCCCCACCCCCAAAACAATATCCTCTACCCCATTGCACGAAAGAAAAGAAAAGCTACAAATTGGCTCTGCCTCCTTAAGCTTTTGGGAAACCGTTTTACTGTGCCGGTCTGTACAAATCTAAATTTGGGGCCTGTGCTGTTTGGCGATGTCTCTTTACCTCAGAGGAATCTTCTAGCTTTTCTCCATTTCAAAGCACTTGGGTCCACACAAAATGCTCTTGAAGAGAGAGCTTCCCCCCCTTAGCAAAAATTCAGGTCTGTCACCAGGAAAGAAGAGGTTTTTCTGTGGAAATCATCCCCGTGCTGGTTATAAAAGCCACTCACATCTCAGTATGAACTCAGCTAACGCGCTCCGTTGTCTTTGTGAGCGAGAAGCGAAATCCACACAAAGGTATAAAGAGTTGATCCATATAAAGATTGCTCTCCGGATTCCACTGGGCCTCGGCTTTCTGATGACCGAATCTTTGCCGTGGACAGCTGTGCAATTGAGACCACAGCAGGACTCCAGATGTGCTGGGGCTTGCCAGGCAACAGACTTAGAAGTTTGGCCAAATCAGCCCCAGATAATCACCAGAGAAGAAGCAGGGGTGGGGGTGGGGGTGTGTGTGCAGGGCTGGTCCAGAAGCTTTGTGTAACTCAGGAGCTGGGGCTAAGCTCAGGACAGAGAAAGCAAGTCAGAATGGAAGGTCTTCCAGTTTTTGTCACATTTAGTGCATGAGTGTCCTTTCCTGGGCTCCAAGGAGGGCTGAGAGTGATGATCTGGAGGAAATATCACATAATGGCCAGTTGTCTGGGCCCATGAACCCAGTGGGAATCTTGGCCCTGCCTCTAACTAACTGTGTGACCTTGACGATACTTTGTAAGACTTAGGCTCACAAAGCCCTGAGAACATGCTTGACACGCATCATCATAACTACTGCCTCTTTTACCAGGAGGAATTAAACAAGCAGCTACGACACTAGCTAGATGAAGATCGAACAGCTAGGAGCTAGTCGAGATTAGTGGAAACACCAGCTCACAGTTCCTTCCACTGCGCTCAGTGTATCTCATTGTAGCAATCACTTGGTTGAGCAGCTCTTGGGCAGAACCTAGAATCCAAATATAATAAAATGTCCCAGGTGACATGCGACATGGTGACTCATACCTGTAATCCCACACTTAGGAGGCTTATTGAGAGTTTGAGGTAAGCCTGGGCTACAGAGTAAGACCCTGTCTCAAGCACAAATACATAGGTACATACATACATACATTCATATATATATATATAAACAAATAAGTAAATAAACAGAATTTTTTAAAGGCTCATGTCAATGTTAAGATGGAAAAGATACATTTGAGAAAAGATGCCCCCTGCCTTGCAGAGCCTAGGATGAATTCACCCAGAGCTGGGTTCTCATTCCTCATGTATTTCCTCTCTCTCTCTACACACACACACACACACACACACACACACACACACACACACACACACACACACAATGAGAACCGTGAACCATCAATTTTGGGACATGTTAAGAACCATCTAGCCAGGCGATGGTGGCACACGCCTTTAATCCCAGTACTCAGGAGGCAGAGCCAGGCAGATCTCTGTAAGTTCAAGGCCAGCCTGGTCTACAGAGCGAGATCTAGGACAGGCACCAAAGTTATACAGAGAAAAACCAAAAAAAAAAAAAAAAATCTAAACAGAACCTAATGATTTTTTAAAATATTTGTGTCTATGTGTGATGTGTGCTTATATCTGTGTATGATGTGTATGTATGGTGTATATGGATATGTGTGATGTATGTTATGTGCATATGGTGTGTGTGTGTGATTTATGTATGTGTATGTTTCTATGTGTAAGTACAGGCACATGTCTCGGCGCACATGTAGAGGTCTGGAGACAACCTTGAGGGTCAGTCTTTGCCTTCCACCCTGCTTGGGACAGGGTCTCTGCCTTTTGCCACTATATCCACTAGAGTAGCTGGCTGGAGAACTGCCAGGCATTTTCCTATCTCTATCTTTCTTCTCTGGGTAGGAACACAAAGATTGCAGGAACATGCTTTACGAGTTCTGGGGATTCAAACTCGGGTCCTTGATTGTGGGCCACACGGTTTACCCATTGGGCAGTCTTGCCACCTCTTGGTGATACTCTCTGATTGAACAAATTAACTAACTTTTCACAAAACTTCAGACAAGGAAACCGAACCTCCACATGCTGTCTCTAGTGATGGTTAAGAAGACCCAAAGTGTTCCTCTCCAGGGCATGTTTTAGCAAGATCAGTCTGCTTGGGCAGTGTGGTTCTTCCTTAGACATCAGGGAGCTATTTGGGGCCTGTATAAATCTAGGCATTCAAAGGGGAATGAAGAAAAAGAACCCCTTAGGTGGGAACAGAAGAGAAGCAGATGATTAAAAATTGTTCATGGTGTCTCTTGAACATGATCGCCCAGGAAACTTGGTTTTAACTTTGGTTTTTATGGTTACTTTGGGTAACCACAAAGGATAGTGTGACTGTGGCTGCAGCTACTCTGGGAGAGAGAAGTGTGTGTCCTAAAGCATTTAGGTACAAAGGCAGGTGGCTTCAGATCGACTGCAGGTTATGAAATGGAAAAGCCCATTGTCGTTTTGGACTTTGCAGGGAGCCAAGAGTAAATAATACTTCTCATATAGCTTTAGCCTAGTGCTATCTTAATTGCAATCTCTGGTGAGATTTGGAGTTATGCGTTTTTAACAAGCAAACCATAAAATAAGGTTTAATCTTCCCAGAGCCCTGGAGTTAATTTATCTGTCCACAGGCTAAGATCTTTTTAAAGGTTAAGAATGCTTGGGTTTTCTTTCTAGGTCTCTGGATTGGCTAGAACACCTGCAGGTGTCTCCTATGGCTGGCGGCTGGAATCTGACTTTCATCAGTGCTAAAGACCCAACCTCAGGAAGCCCTGCAAAAAGAATCAGGTATTGGAGCCTAGCAGTCATGAACCCTATTTTGTTCAGATGGAAAGGAACTGGTATTACCAAAACCAGCATCTGTAGCAGCTGATGTGTCCAATTTAGCCTCAAGAGGAAAGGGGCTGTCTTGCCTCTACCACTGGGAGGTGCAGGGGTTTGGGGAAGATGAGCTGACCTCTCTTGAGTTTCACCATCTGTTAAATGAGGATGAAAGTATTTACCTTGGGCCAGTGAGATGGCTCAGTGAGTAAGAGGACTTGCAGCTAAGCCTGAAGACCTGAGTTTCATCCCTAAGAAATGACTCATGCAAATTGTCCTCTGACCTCCAAATGGGCATCATGTGCACTCAAGCACGCATATATGCGCACTAAATAAGTAAGTAAACACACCAATGTAGTAACAAAAATAATCTGTCCTGGAGACTTCATTGCCCCTCGTTGTTCCGGAATCTCAGTGTTCTTTGAACATTAGATACGTAGCTGGCTCTTGTTTTAATAGTAAAACAGCACGGTTATTAAGCTGACTTTCTTATCTAGGTGTTCACCCAAGTGAAATTTGCCTCATCAGAGTGCAAGGACATTTTCAGACATTCGGAACACGTCTAAAAGTCAATCTTAACTCTTGTAACTGGCCATCATAGGTTCATTGCCAAAGCACAAAGAGTGCAGGGTATCACACAGGCCTTGCTTGCAGAATAGCTGTGCACGTGTGACCTCTATCAATTTGGCAGGGTCACTTCCCTTGCTGGAGCACCTTTCCTGTCTCTGTCAAGTTCAGAGGGTGCCATGACTACTTCAGAATCTACTGAATAGACGGGGGGTGGGTCTCATTTCCATCCTGCATGACTGTACGAAAAAGAATAGGAGGAGCCCACATACACTATTGTAGAGAAGATAGAGGAAGGGCCCCTGATTTAGACACCACACTCCAATCTTCCATCACTGGAATTCATAGCCCCATTGACTAGTCCCTAATCTTCAAGTTCTCCTGGAGTCTCCTTGCCTCCCCTCCTCCCCAACACACTATGTCCCACCCACCCACACCTTGCTGGACTTGATGTCTTCTGCCTTGATGATTCTTCCTGTACTGCCTGCCTCCACATCTCCTGTCAAATCATTTTACCACTGTTCGTGAAGTCATGATCACAAGGCCACCTTGCCAGAAAACCATCCCTGATTAACCTCGTATTCTGCTAGCGTTCCCCATGCTTCTCCATCAATTTCTCCATCCCACTATTGGTATATTTGGTCAGGTTATAATAATCCCTAGTCTCTGGCAAAACAGTGAGGGACAATGAGGGACAAAGATGATCCTTGACCCATTTAATTCCTTGAGAATTGAAATTCTGTGCCCCATGCTTTGCTCTCCGAGAGATCTGCAGACATTATTCTGAGCAGCCACAAACAAGCAAAGGCCAGGTTCAGCAGGAGTGGGAAGTAAGGCTGGTGTCCAGGCTCAAGATTCCTCCTAAGCTACACACTGAAATGTGTTTAAACATGCCTTGCTTGTTTGGATTGTAAGCCATGGGGCAGGAATAAAGGATTAGGAAGTATATGTCAAAGGGAACAGAGTTGTTCCTCTAAAATATCGCTCTAAACCCATCAATCCACACCTCATAAGTCTTCCTCGGCTCCCTATGACACAAGAGAGAAAATCCACACTCAGCCAGGGAAACAAGTGCCTATACAACAATTACCACCCATCACCCACCCCCCAACACACACACACACACACACACACACACACACACACACACACACACACTCATTTATGCCTCAGCAGTACCTTCAAATCCCAGTCAGGTATGCCAGGCTCCACCCCTCATCAGCACCTCTCATCTCTTGTCCCTCTGCCTAGAACATTCTTCTTTGCTCTTCCCTCTCCCATGTAACCCAAGCCATGGAAAACATATCATCTCCCTGGCTTTTATCGGTTACCCTAGTCAGGATCAAGTCTGTCTTCTTGATGCTCCTACGACAGTGGTTCTCCACCTTCCTAGTGCTGCGACCCTTTAATACCTCATGCTGTGGTGACCTCCAACCACAAAATTATTTTTGTTGCTACTTCATAACTGTAATTGTGATACTGTTAGGAACTGTAATGTAACTATTTGACAGGAAGATGGTCTTAGGTGACACCTGTGAAAGGTTTGTTTGGCATCCCCCCAAGGGGGTTGCAACACGTCTTAGAGCGTGGGCTTGCTCCTTGTCTTTCATTCACAGGACGCAGTTACCTTTAGGGACTGCGTTACTCTTCTGTTCCTTTTCCTTTCCTCCCCTCCTAATGGCCTGCCTGCCTGCCAGCCCTAGTCCCAGGCAGTCAGGAGTCCTCCAAGAACCATTATGGAGTTGAGTTGAAGTTACTGATTCAGCCTCCAGGGTTCCTCCTTCTCACCTCTTCCACAACACCCCACCTTTCCTGTCCTTCCCCCCCCACCCCCGCCCCCAGTTTCGTCTCCCATTTCCTCAAAGGCGGGTAGCACTCTCGCTGTAAGGCCTTGTTGGGGCCCCTGTGCCTGCCCTGCCTCTCTTCCCCGAGAATGCAGCTCTTACACTGTTGAAGAGTCAATAGGAGAGACTTGATGATGGTGGCGCTCCCTCCCTCCACCTCTACCACCTCCCAGGCTTCCCAGAGACCTTAGTCTCCCCCAACCTTCATCTTGAGACAGGTGGAAAAGCAACAATAATCCAATTAAAGTGTCTGACACAATGGCCAGGTGGCGCCGTGCTGGAGAGGAGCTGGGCACACGGGGGCTGTTACAGGTTGTGTTTCACTGGCTGTGGATACCTACAGGGAGAACACTTGCCATAAGATTCACAGATTAAAAACCAGTGGCCTCTGCTTTCTCTCCAGAGTGTTTTTGTAAGAAATTGGTTCGGGGCAGGAGGGGACAAGATCCTTTCTCTTTCTTTTCCCACCTCGATGGCATTTAAAGGAAGCGGAAAGAAGAAATGTCGGAGGGAGGAAAAGAATAAATCAGAGGAGGCGGCAGAGTTAGGAAAAGCCAAGCGTGTCTCCAGCCCAACAAGGCTGCTCAGGTGAGGGGTGGCCAGTCTCCTGTCTAGACTCCTTCGTCTGCCACTCTTGATGCACATCCCCACTTTTTCTTTTCTCATTAGCTCATTGCCACTGCCCCAGCTCTGGGACTCCCAGGGTAGCTTTTGAGTCCACACCAAGCCCAGGCACCATCCCTGGGAATCAGAAGGACGAAGGACAAACCATGCACAGACCACCTTCCACCAAGGATATCCACTCAGAGCAAAAAGCCAGCCCGTGGAGATGAGCCCACACATGTGTGGGTGCTGCTGCACCCACAGTCCTCCTACACAAGTGTCCCAGCATCCTAGTGAGCCCCAGCACCCTGGTTACCACCAGTTCCAACTCACTTGACCACCTTCCAGCCCACAGACCCCTTTCCTGAGTGGCTGCCCCAGCCTCCCACACTGCTCATGACAGGTCCAGTGGATTTCCCACACCCTGCTCTTGGCTGACGGGACTGGACCAAGTTAAATGCTCTTCCCTTCACTATCCAAAAGAGTTTTTTCTTCTGACTGAAGTGAGCAGTATGAAGGAACAACAGAGCCCTGGAGGAGGATGAGAAGCTTCTTATATCCACTGAGTGGCACTTCAAAGTGTCCCGTGGAAAGGTTCCACATTAATTAGGGGGAAGAAATTGCCATGTACCTTAATTAATATCAAATTAACTTTTCCCCCTTAAATACAAGACAGAAAGATGGCTGGAGAGGATGGAGAAGGAGCTGCTGATACAGTCTGTCTGGCTCGGTCATGGACAGCACAGTGAGAAATCTGTTTTCTAGATGAGTCTTTGGGTCAGGAAAGAACTTGAATGCCACAGTAAAGGTCTTCTTCTCCTATCCCTGATGCTCTGACCATCGTGCAAAATAAAGTGAAGGCCTAAGACCTGGGTATTTCAAAAGAGAAATGCAGAAATCGCATTTTGTTAGAAGTGTTTGCAGAAAGTGGTTTCGGAGAGCCTGTCACTTGTTCTTTGCACTACTCTGTGTGTGTGTGTGTGTGTGTGTGTGTGTGTGTGTGTGTGTGTGTGTGTGTGTGTGTGTCTGTGTGTGTGTTCGCTGTCATGCTACAAGTGTACATGTTACATGTGTGTAGGTGCCTGTGCTGTCTAAAGAGCCATACCGGGTGCCATTCCTAAGGAGCTGTGCATCCTATTTGGGGCTTGTCTGTATTGTGGCGGTTTAGGGATTTTGATGTTGCTGTCACTGTAGTTAGGCTGGCCAGGTTTTTGCTCTGGTTTTGAGACTTGGTCTCTGTCTTGGATCCGGGGCTCACCGATTCAGCTAGGTCTCCAGACAAGCAAGCCTCAGGGGTCTGGTGCCTCTGCTCCCGGGCGCTGGAATTGTAAGCATACACCATCACACACAGCATTTTCCCTTTAAACACGGGCTGTTGAGATGAAAGCCGAGCACTCTACCCATCGAGCTACCTCTCCCATCCCCTACCTAACCACTTTCCTGGAATCCATCCCCTACTTCCTTCTGCACAGTGCTCTAGCAGACTTCTGGGAATCGGCCTGGTTTCTCCTCGCTCGATAATCAGTCCATCCCAGACGGTCTAGCTTCCAGCTCCCAAACCTGCCCTCTTCTGTCCGGCCCTTGCCCAGCATACAAGTAGGAGCCTACCTGGTCTTTCATTTTTCTCCCTTGTTCCTAGAAGCCCAGTTTCCACCTGGCAGCCAGGATGGTTGTCTGTCTGTCTGCTTTTTATTGTGGTTGTTGAGACAGTCTCACTGCAATGGTCCTGGCAGGCCTGGAAGGCACAGAGATCCTCCTGCCCCCAGTGCCAAGTGCTGAAGGTAAAGCTGTGTGCTGCCACGCCCAGAAACGTGAGATTTTAAATGAACGAAATCACGTCATTCCTCCACTCAAAAGCCATCCGAGGCTTCCCGCCATGCTTGGAAGTTTTTGAAGTTTCCTCCATGAGTGCTACCAAGACCCTGGATGATTTTGTCCCTATCTGACTCTCTC